AATACGCTGTTCTGGATATTAATTATTTTTTCTTTTTTTTCTTCAAAATATAATACTAAATCTATAACTTTGCTGAATTTATCTCACAGTAAAGTGAAATTTTGGTTGCATATTATACGGCACGGATAATTGTCGCCGAACCAAGGTTTTCAAAACATTTCACTTTTGAGATATGTAGAGTTCTGTTATGGTTATCTGTATAATCAATCAATTAAAAGTTGTATTTTTTAAATGAAACTTACTGCATATTACACTATTTTTGGTTTCCATTATCAAAATAAGACTATGTTTCAATAATGTGTATATCTAAACCTTGAGATTTTTAAATAATTTGAATTTTGTAGTATAAAAAACCGTGAGACAAAAAAATTCCGACCATTTTTGTATTTCATGTCAGAATCATGAAATTTAAAATAATAGGTCTAGCCAATATACAGAGCTGCCGCCGGCTGCAACCAGAATTTCCGCTTTCTGTAGCGACGAAATGAAAGTTTAAGTGCAGTCAAATTTTGGAAAAACCGCTCTAGACAGGTAGAGGAAGTTATTAAGTAAAAGTAATCAGAAGAGTTCATTGAATCTAAAAAGTAATAAAATATAGCGTATACTGTTTAAACGATGGTTTCATATGTCTACATAAATGGTATAACGCAGGAAATAAAGTAACTCTTCATTTTCTACAGCTATGTAGGACATAAGAACTACGTTTTATAAAGCCAAAGAATCAAGAACTTTGCAACACTTTTTCAAAATAATATTGCCATAAACATAAACAATCTAGTCAGTCTAGTCAGTCTAGTCTGGTTAAAATTCTCGCTTGATGGGCACCGTGTGACTTGGTTGATGGCTTTTCTTAGGACTCCAACGCCTGAAAGATCCGGCTTGACTTCCCGGGTCATCATGAATATTCTGGAAGATAACTGTAAATATGGTTTTATTCTAGGTAATTGTATCACTGCTACCATTATTTTGAAAATACCTTGTCTCGCCCTTAAATTGGAATACGTCTGTCTTGCCTGGAATCTAATTCATTATTGTCATGATTCAGCAATCCATGGTATTTAGAATCCACCAGTTATTCTCCATTACAAAGAGCTGCCCAATATTATAAACCTACTGAATTTGTTAGAATATCTGTTCTCCCACTGGTGATACCTATCACTGTGTTAGGGCCACGTTGAATAAATCGACTATAAGCACTGCATATTCATATTCTATGCCGAAGTGTATATTTGAAAATACAAAATTAGAATTCAATTCAAAATTTGTTCACTATTTGTGTAATTTGCTGATAGTTGCTGACTTAGGGATTCATTATTTAATCATTGCTAAAAGTAGGAAAAAATCACAAATAGGAGACTGAAAATCTACCGAACCCTTGTTAATATTTTTTCATTGGCTGAAATTTTTCCAATAAGATTATTTATTCCAATAACTTTGTTTGGTTTGGTTTTCTTGCCTTAATAATTCTTAAGCTTTCTTTTAGTATCTTGTCTTTTTTGAGGCATCTGTCAGCACGCATTCGTTCTTTGCACATTTTGATTGCTCATTCTTCAACTATAATTGCTTTTAGATAATCTGGTGGTGTGGTAGCCTTGTAGCAAAATCGTTACTTTATTGGCTCTTCTCTCACTGACAAAAAAAAAACACTCAAAGGTTGAAACTTCTATGTACGACTACAGTATTTGTAAGAAACTAGGCGGTTCGAAGGCGTAAACCAAGACTATTCGCATCTGCTTTTCACGGATGACTACAATGGATGAGCATATTTAATTGGCAATTTTTCTTCTTAAAATATATTTTGTGCAAATGCTGTTTTGAAGTTCTTAAGGAATATCTTTCAAAAATGTCTTTTTTAAGGGGTTAAGGTTATTGAAACAATAAGTGAAGTGAATATTCTGTAGGATTCCCCTTTCCTATTATTTGCAATAAAATAATTCCAAATACATATTTTAGCACGGAGAAGTATCCAATCAAACTGCTCGCCTTGCGAATAACAATGCCAAAGGGTCAGTTCATTATTAATGTATAGAACGTTCGGGTCCTTCGTTCGAAGAGTAATCGGTCTTTGAAACGTAATGCGGAAGGGTCGAGTTAAGACTTTCTTTATAGTTAAAAAGGGTTGTAATTCGAAGTAACAATAGAGTGCCATCTGATCATCCCTTACAGATGTTATTTAATATTATTTAATAATATACTCTATTACTAGTCTATAAAATAATATTTTCTTTTGCATGAACTGGGAACTATGCACTAATTTCGCGTGTACGGCCTTCTCCACCATTGCCAAGCCCTTATTTATTAAAGGAAATAAATGTTTATGACAGCTGGATTGATACCAAGTATTAGAATCCAACATAGATTTAATGAAAATGTCTTGATTGAAATCCGAGATTTATTGAAAACGATATTGCACAATTCAAAATTATTTTCTTTAATTATATTACATAAATAAGGCCAGCAGTAAATATCTGTAATATCTGCAATAGTGTAATCTGTAATAATTTAATAGGTAATAGATATTTTAGTACACATCCCGATTTTTTAAATTTATGTAAATTTAAAATTCGTAGCATTTAGTTAAAAAATTAGTTTGCCTATTAGTTTCTTATGATATCGAAAATTAGTATTGCCCCAACGATGTAATTAATAGGTATAATAGACGAACATCTCATTCAAGAACAAGTTAACCCTTTTAGTAAATAACGGCTAATAGACGGACGTTTCCTTGGTTTCAGTTTTATCGCACAGAACCAATTTGGGTTTTTTAAATTGTTCCACATTCTCTTTCAATATTTCAACTTAGCTCTTACTTTCCATTTTGGCTGGAAGTAAGGTCATTTTTTTAATTGCTTTTTTCCCAGAGCAAATTGCATATTTTACCGTTTTTGGTTTCTTCAATAGGTATGCCCATACCGACATGAGTTGGTGGTCGTTGAATTGTTTGACCTTACAACAGTAATCAAATGTCAAATGTCAATGTCAAATGAACTTGAACTTGAATATAGAAAATGTTTTTTTTTTAAATATAGAAACAAGAGATATCTCATATACATATGTTATTAAGACTCGCTAATTGGCAAATGTTAGAATGACTTAAAGTTTTACGGAAGTTTGAGAGAATATTTGAAGTATTTAAAGCGAACGTTATAAACTTACTTAAATCGTTGCTTTGCGCGAAATAGATAGTGCGTAATATCTGATATAAACTGCTCAAAGTAAACTTCGATCAAGTAAATTATCGCTTGTCACAGTTTGTCGGAGAAGAACAAGAACTGGAAACGGCAAAGACGTGTTAGTCGAACAGTTTCAAATTATAATAATTGATTGGGTATACACATAAGACTACAGGAACCAAGTAACAGTAGATAATATGTTCGGATATCCTAAGAGAATGTCATAACAAGTTATTAATACCAAAAATAAAATCATTGAAGATTTAGAATAGTGAAAGATAATGGGTTCTGCTGGTTTCATACCAAATTAAGTTAGATATATAGCTACTAGATCTATAGAAGCTTTTGCTGTGCTGATACCGTTTCTAAAGCGAATATCAACAAAATGTGATAAGTGGTTAAGTAAACCCATGCGCGAGTCACCTCAAAACTTGTTTTCAACCATTTCAAGTCCCACCTTGTGGTGTTCCACAATCAACATCACCGCTCACAGTTCGTCAATTCGACAGTTTCAAATTTCACGAATTTAGTACGACTTTGTCGCATGCAAGAATCCATTTATAACCAAGCAACTAAATTTTCCTCAGTAGTCGAAACTTTTTTGCTATGGCAGATACTGTAGTTGCATCTACTGTTTATCTCGTTTTGTAAACGTAAAGTAAAAAATAAAAAAAAGGTGGAATATGCAAATGTTCGCAACCTGCAATTTATCCCAAAATTTTTACAAGAATGTGTTTAACTGATTTGCACGATTTGTAAATAATTTGTAACTAAATTGTACATTATTGATAAAGTTATTGCCAATTCGAATAACCAAGTCGCAAGAGGCAATATTGTGTAGCAAGGTAATCTAAATTAGCCTTATAGAATATAAAAGTTAATATAATTTTAATTTTAAAAAATTTTATTCTGCATTTCAAACATCTTCATTTCTCTCGTTTCCAGTATTGGAATTATGGATTTTTCTTAAAAATCAAAAAGTTGTTATATGCGTGTTAATTCTTTTTTACCATTTTTGATATTTAACACTAACAAACACTAAGTATCGTTTATTGTAACAAAGTTTGAAAAACAACCTTTAAAAACAAAATTTCACCAAAATAATCAAGCCCACTCAGCAGCAGCTTGCTTAACGCTGGCGTATATTATTATTCAGTCTGTACAATTCCAGGGGGATGTGCGGAGAATGATTCTGTACGAAACTCACATGGCCGACTGCAGCGCCTCAATATGACAGTACTTACGACCTCTATACTATCCAGTAATATGAAGTTGGATACCATCTAGATATATAACCACAGGCATTTTCGTAACCAAAACCAAAAATGCTTTTTTAACAAAGTCGAGGTCTTTCGCTTCTTCACGAAAATATTATAGTCGCTTAAAGTTAATTTTTATCGCTATGGATTGTTTATTTACAAACTAATTGATTAAAATAATATATACAACAGAATACGCTTAAATAGGAAGTTTGGTGAGAAGTCAACACGCCGTACATATTCCAAACGAGGTGTTCCAATTTTCCGACGCATTTTCGCCCCGCAGCAATTTACGTTGCAGTAAAACAGGCAAAAAATTGAATCGATATCGAACAGGCGTAATTTTGTTGAAAAAAAAAATGGCGCGGGATCGATATTTGCCAATAAATATATCTGCACGATGTGGATTTTATTGGCAGGGGCAGATCGGGTGTTTTGCATTTTCCTGTTTGTTTATATTCCGAAAGTTTTGATCAGGCTAATGGGAAACTGATGGCCATTTAAATAGCTTGTCTTTTTAAAATGTTTTCAGTATTTGTAATGTATTATTTCGGTTTTCTGTTTGCAGAAATATACCAGCGAAGGGACCATTGTGCGAGATTGCGTAGAGAAATGCGTCGAAAAAGGTAAGAACATAGCAAATGCACAAACACGACAACATTTTGAGGTGTTTTATAATTTTTAATAACCTCTTAAAAAAGTCCGCATCTAAGTACACTATAGAGTGTAGTGAATATTTCAAAAAGCAATATTGCTTTAAAATCGTGAAAATAATGTCGTTGAGTCAAATATTCCTCAACAAAATGTAGCTTAAAAATGACATACTAAGGTTAAGTTTTCGAAATTTTTATTTGACTGTTCCTCAAGGTATCGACATCAAAATGGGGATGAAGAATAATAATCCACTTCAATTTCTTATATAACTAGGCGCTAGTTTCATCCTATAATCTAGCTAAATCATGCCATGACTTCCTTATTAGCAAAATTATGTTATATTCTGAAAATTGTAATAGAGTGACGGTTTTCAGGTACATTTATTTAGATTAAACAAACCGTTTTAAGGATATTGGCATAGATGCAAATCATATTCCACATTTCGCCTTGGGAATATTCACTAGGCCTATACGCATATTAACCGCCCGAAATTGTTTGAAGTCAAAAGATTTTTATTTCCAGATTAATTAATGTCAACAAAAATGCAAATACAACAATGGAATATCCATGATTACATTCATATCGATATTCTATCCAATCTTCTCTCCACAAAAACGCTCGGATTTAGTTTTAAGTCGATTTGTGGATAGTTTTTGATTATTTTGGTGAAATTTTGTTTATAAACGTTGTTTTTCAAACTTTGTTACAATAAACAATACTTAGTGTTTGTTAGTGTTAAATAGAACAGAGAAATGATAATTGCGAGAATTACACATTACGTCCTATTTCTTAATAATGAGAGATATTTAACAGGGACAAAGCTTGAACATATCAATCATTATTCACTTATTCACAATGAGCCATTGCTATGAAAAAGAGTTTTAAGAAGTGGACAAGTAAATACAATTAACATTAATTCAGTTTAAGATTAAAATTAAAATAAAGTCAAAAAATACAGTCCTAAAATACACTTCTCCAAACTACTCTCTAATTTTGCACGGAAAAAATCGATTACCACTGGTGAACAAACAAAGGTACACACGCTGCTTTGTGCGATAAATGTTTTTTTAAATATTGACTTTATTAAATGCATATTTACATTTTTGTCGAGTTGCTTGTCGAGTTTGCTTGCTTGTTGATCGGCTATAGAATGCTAGGGAAAAGTGGCCTAATTAACCATCAATAAAAATCAATGGCCCACAGTTTTTTCCGGCCTTATCAACATGAAATCTGAATCTACCACAGTAAGTGTAAAATATTCGACTTCGTATAGTGGGATTGAGTTGGAGTTTATTTATAGATGGTGAGCTTTTTTAGAGCGTTGTTGTGTAATGTCACGAGGTCTTGAAGGCCTGTAACAAATATTTAAATCATGCCCTATTAAAAAAATAATTAAAACGGCTAATGGTTCGAAATATTTTTGAACTCAAAATTGAAAAATTTTGTAGAGTGACCTGTGGCATATTATTCTCCAACAATTTTTTTTGAGAGTGCTGTCGATCAATGTGGATTCTCAGTGCTTCAACACCTAGAATTTTGAAAAACGAATAATCTTTTATGGCAAATATAAGTCGATATAGCTAGCTAGAAATTCGTTGTAACTTTTAATTTTAATTCCCTTTTTCAGTAGTAGTTTTTTCTATTTATTCATGTACTCTTTTGATAAAATGGAATAGTGGAAAATGAGTTTTAGGAAAAGCAAAACTTATTTACTTATTTTTGCATAACATATAGGATGTGGAAACCATAGGTCAACTGCTTCATGATTGTTTATATATTTTAGATCAATTTATTCCAAAATGTACAAATAACCGCCAAACAGGCATCAATAATCCCGCATTTTTCAAATTCTTAGAAAAAAAGAAAAAAAAAAACAGACTTCGTTGATTACTGACAATAATAATTGATAATAATAAATAAAATTGGATACGAATGAAGCATGTCGATATATACAATGAGAACATAAAGGCCTAACTTTCGAACCGTTTGGTATATTGCGATGGTATTGGGATGGTGTTATATGGGACAATTTTTTTTTTACCGAAAATGAAATTTTTGTAAGTCAAAATAGTTTCGGTTTATTTTTTTCATGTAATGGTGCAGGTCTATATTTTCAAGACCTTTTTATCCCTAATTTAAATTTTGATTTTGAAGACATTCGATTCATTTATTTTTAAATGGATAGCGGTTTGATTTGGTTTTCTAGGTAACATAGCTTCTGGGGGTAAGTAAAAAAAAAAGCAAAATATAAATTTATAATATAATAAATAATAATAAATAACGTATACAATGTATACAGTATACATATTTCCATCTGCGAAACACTACACACAAATATTATGAATGCACTGTAAATAATAATAATAATAACAATAAATAAAACTATGTAAAAAACTAAAGTTATGACTGATCCTATTTTAGTTTAAGCCACCTAGGTTACCAAGTAACCTAAAAAGCTGCTGATATGTGATTCAGGCTTATTTTAATTTTTGTCCAGTCCATGAATCAATCTGATTTAGCTTCTTTTAGTTATTTATGTATGAATATTACCGATTTCCCTATAAGTAAGGAAACTAAAAAATAAAGTCTGAACCTACAGGCGGTCCTGTGACGTTCTATTATAAAAAAAACAGCGCAGTAGTTCTGACGTTTACTATGCACACAATTGATGTGTAAAACAATATAAAATTCCCTCAGCTTGGATAAGAAATTACAGTTTTTAAAAGTGATGATAAATATAATTAATAAAGTATTTGAGTATTATGACTCAAAAAATGTCCTGTACCATTTAATCGACCCGCAGATTTTGCAAAAGGTTTCCACATATTGCAAACTAACATTCTATTAACAACAAAAAGTGAGGATTATGATTTTAGCATATATGTTATAGTCTATTATGAAACCAATTTGGTAAGCGCAATTACAGTAGCGGCTTTATTTGGCACAAGCAGAGCTCAGCGGAGCGAGTGAGTAATAAATTTGGACTTAAAAAAGTTTACCTAACGTGTTGCATACTATACTTTTCTACGACTGTTAGCTTTTGGGTAGGGTAGACTAGGTACGGTTGAAACATCTTAAATATTGAAAAAACTAAACCCGGGGCGGGAAGGGGTACAAGGGGCGAGACACGCGGGCTGCACGTCCCGACATGATTCCACAGTGTTGCGACGCACTCCGCGCGCTCATCACACCTACAGAAGGGCCTATTGTGTTTTGACAACCACTACCAACTAACCAAAACTAACCAAAAGTAAGTATTTATGATCAATTTCTTTGTTATATTTCTTGATTTGTATGATATTATTCTCTTTGAGTATTTTATTACATAATTGTAGTATTTTGGAGATTATACTATGATGGTTCGTTTCATTGTAGGTTATTATTCCTGGTGTTTGTAACCATTTTTTTCTAGAATCAGAGGGTGGATACGGTTGTAACAATTTTCTTGCTTTACAGATGCCTATAAAATGGGTCAGAGAGACTTCAAGAGGTAAAAGCGACATGTCCTTCTACAAAAACTCTTATGAAGAAGTCAAAAAAGGAGCTTCATTCAGGCTAGCTGCTGACAAATATGGCATAAGCTATGTCTCTCTGTTGAGATACAAACGAAAGAGGGAAGCTGTTTACGAAGAGCACCCTAACCGGGTAAAAGAGGGGTACGTAGCTCACGATAGAGTTTACGTAGCTCACGATAGAGTTTTCACCAAAGGTCAAGAGCGTGAATTGTCGAAATACCTGATTCGTTGTTGTGATGAGATATATTTTATTCTCTTGATAAAAGAAGTCAGAAAACTTGCATATGAACTTAATATCAAATATAATTTGAAGACTCCGCTCACATGGATTGAAAATGAAGTGGCTGGAGAGGAGTGGTTCCGTTCATTTATGAAAAGAAACCGAGAACTATCAGTACGTGCTGCACAAGCTACAAGTCTATCTAGAGCGACTAGTTTCAATCAAACCATTGTAAATCTTTTTTTCGACAACCTTCAAATCGTTATGGTTCGAACCTCAAAACATTTATAATGTTGACGAAACTGAAGTTACTACAGTGCAGAAGCCAGACAGAGTTGTAGCAAGACGTGGCTCAAGACAGGACTTTCACCGATATTTGTATTTCCTTGTATACGATGAGAATTTTATCAGAGATGGACCAGTAGGTTCAATTGGTATAGGTAATCCATCGGGGTGGATGCAAGATGAGCAATTTATTGTGTTTCTCAAACATTTCAAAAACCACACGAATGCTTCTCAGTCACATAAGGTCTTACTTGTATTAGACAATCATTCGCCCCATATACATATTCATTTTTTGGACTTTTGCAAAGAGAACGGAATAGTTTCACTTTCATTTCCACCCCACTGTTCGCATAAATGACAGCCATATGATAGTTCTGTTTATGGACCTTTCAAAAAAGCAATAAACACTGCCTATGGTGCCTGGATGCGAAATCATCCAGGTAAAGTCATGATTATTTGTCACATACCGAGCATTATAACAAGTACAATGCCCTTAGCTCTTACTCAAGCTAATATTCAGGCTGGGATCTTCCCATTCAACCGCGAATTGTTCCAAGAAATTTATTTCGCACCATCGTTCATTACAGACAGGCCAGACCCAAATGCTACAGGACCAGTTGCCGCTTCTAATAATAATCTCACAGTGCGTCCATCTTAACCTGAAAATAGTGTAATTGCTAACACTCAATCACCAGTGTCTTCTCAAAACGTTGCGATGCAAGCAGCAAGAACCCCGCCTAGACCTTCTCCTACAGAAATCAGTCAAGACATACAAGTTATGACACCAAATCTGGAACCAAGCGTCTCTTCTCGTGCTGCTGCTTTTTGTACGGAATTAGAAGGAATTCCGTCCACAGGTAAACAATCTTTATTCTTGCCTGAAGCATTACGATCCTTCCCAAAAGCTCCTCCTAGTAAATTAGGAGCAAGAGGTAGAAAAACAAAAATATCT